TCAGAAGATTGAATAAGACCCGGGTATTATTCTAGTTAGATATATATAATATTTATATTTGAATCCTTATTAAACTATATAGTATTAAACTATGTAAAGTTCCCTCCTGCTATAGTACCCTCCCCCGTAATTAGTACCCGGGAGGGTACCATTCAAGAAATTTGTGGTTGATTGAATAGTACCCGGGGTACTGTAGTCAGTGCCATACGGTACTCGGGTAGTTTATACGACGACTTACGGTAGGCTTTGAAATAATTCAATTTGGGGGTGAACTAGGGAAACCCCTACTTGAAAGCATCAAATGGTGGTTTTCCTAGTCCATTCCCCATTTGACCAATTAAATCGGAAAGGTAGACGTAGAAATAAACGCTCCCTCTAAGTGCTTATCTTATATCCACTTAAGAATTTATACTCATTTTTGAAAACAATGGTATTTAGTTAGCCGAAACATTTTCATCGGCTGGTTAAGCCGATTTAGCTGTGGTTATCTTGGCCGGATTAAAACACCAGCGTAGATCTCCGACAAAAACTTTTGTATTTGATTGGCGAACGCATCATTTTTCGTGCGACATTTACATCTATAAAAACATGAAAGTTATACCATTTTTTATTTTTATTTATTTTTTTAACTATCAAATTTAATACCTTGGTTACATATATATTGATGATGAAATGATTCAACTTAAGACGATATTAAATGTAATAGACAATTCTGGTGCTATTCTTGCAGAGTGTATTCGTGTGGCTCATGGTGGACGGTATGGTCGTATAGGTAAGTGTGACATTCATTTATTTTGCTCGTTAATTCCTATATCCCGCCAATTTTTACGATACTTGAACCGGTTTTTATGATTTATATTTATCTATTCATGTACTGTACTAATTTATTATCACACAATTTATCATTATTGCCCTTCTTTATTCAAGGCGATGCAATCACGGTAGTAATTAAAAAGGCACATCCAATATCACAAGTCGCAGAAAAAACCTCTGGTGGATCAGCTGCAAATCTCGCCACAAAACTTTCAATTCGTAAAGGTGAAGTTAAAAAGGCACTCATTGTACGCACTCGTAAAGAAACAAGAAGACCTGATGGAAGATATATTAGATTTGATGATAATGCTTGCATACTTTTGAATAATCGTCAAGAACCTTTGGCTACTAGAGTACTTGGTGTGGTAGGAAATGAGTTAAGGGGTAAGAAATGGGGAAAGGTCGTTAGCCTAGCTCCTAGAATTGTATGAGCATCAATCCAGAATTCTCCCATTATTCTCTAACTAGCAATAGAAGAATTTGAGGGTTGGAATATGCTTATTTGATTTAGTGATGCATGCTTTGGAATATTAAAGTAAAAATTATATACAATAAAGCTTAGATGAGTCTACTTAAGCTTGTGTAACACGCAAACTCGATACCTCATTATTATAATTACAGTATTATGCATATCAATCTATGTTAAACACGTGGTGATCTGATCAGATCAGC